ATAATTCGATAAATATCGCGAGCTGCTGACGTGTTCGAAATCTGCGATAATTTAAAGCTATCACGGTATTATAACCACATTTACCCGTGGACCAACGGACCAGAAGCACTTTACTGATAAATATTGTTCATTGGTTCAATATTTAGGTAGTTGAAAATATATAGAATTTAAATTTTGCACTAAACGTCAATAGAACTTTCTACGTCTAAAAATAACACTGGTTATTTATCTTTTTCTATTATTTACTTGTAACCGAAGTAAGTATAATCCGGTAAAGTATGAATATATATATGTATTGAATATAATGGATGAATTTATTTTTGTTCATCATCGGCAATTTATAAATCGAAAAATTCTAATTTTGATCTTTCGTCAGTTTGGTTCTGTGCATCAGTCTATTGAAAATAGAAAAAAATGAACAGTATGACGCAATTCAAGTTGAGCTTTATGTAATTCATACACAGAGTACCAAATTACATGTTTGTGTTTTTGTATCATTTAATTGTATAATACATATTTGAATAAATGTATTTAATATTTGTAACAGGATGTCAGTTGATGAGAGTTTTGCCACAAAAGCTATTCACGCTGGCCAAGATCCATTACAGTGGAGTCATTGGGAGGTAGTACCTCCTATTGTAACATCCACTACTTTTCGTCAAGATGGACCTGGAGTAACTAGAGTAAATTGCATTTACTTCAAAACTAAAAAAGTTTCAAGTAGTACTCTTACACAATAAAAATGTTGAGTACTTTTTTAAGAAAGTTCAGTTTTTTAAATTAGTGTCATATTATTCAGTAATTTCTAATTAAGATTATAGAAATTTAAATTTTATATACTTATTTGAATAATTTTGTTATCGTTCTAGGGTTATGATTATGGAAGAAGTGGCAATCCCACAAGAAATGTTTTAGAAACTTGTTTAGCTTCCTTGGAAAATGCAAAATACGCGTTAACTTTTTCGTCTGGATTAGGTGCTACAACAGTAATAACATCATTATTAAATGCAGGAGATCATATTATATCTGGAGATGATATTTATGGTGGAACTAATCGTTTTTTTCAAAAATGTTTATGCAGACAAAGTAATACAATAACGTTTGTGGATATGTCGGATATCAGTAATATTATATCCAATATAAAATCAAATACAAAGGTGAAATGTGAAAAAAAATCTTAATTTTAATGATATCAATAAGCAAATTTTGATTCTCTTTAAAAAATACGTTTATGTTTTTTTAGATGATTTGGTTGGAGACACCAACTAATCCTTTATTGAAGGTAATTGATATTCAAGCTGTTGCTCAAGCTGCAAAGCAAAAAAATCCTGAAACTATTATAGTAGTGGACAATACTTTCCTAACAAGTTATTTCCAGGTGACTAGTACTTGTTATTTATTATTCTAACAATATTAAATACTTAATATTATATTATTTTTACAGAAGCCATTAAATTTAGGAGCAGATATTGTACACTATTCTGTAACAAAATATGTAAATGGACATTCAGATGTTATTATGGGTGCAATAGTTACAAATAGAAATGATCTTTGGGAAAGGCTTGCATTTCTTCAAAATGGTACTTTTGAATAACATATAATTTTTTCTTTATTATAATATTAATTTTAATTTTATTCACATATATAAAAGCAACTTCAAATTTTGAATTGTTTTAGCTATGGGAATTGTTCCATCGCCAATAGATTGTTTTTTAGTTAATCGTAGTATAAAAACTCTGGAAATTAGAATGCGACAGCATATGGAAAATGGATTAGCAGTTGCACAATTTTTAGAATCACATCCTTGTGTAGAAAAAGTATTTCATCCATGTATGTATCTTTATAAAATATCGAATTTATATCTTTTATACTACACTTCATGCAGTTTTATAAAAATATACAGAATAATGTTCTCTATATTAAATGATATATAACTGATATA